GGATGGGCGAAAAGCAATAGATACGTATCGATTTCGAATTCTCCGCCCCAGAAAAAAACGCCAGGATGGTCGGCCTAGCTTTTCGCCCATCCTCTTCGCCGAGCTGCCCGTCAATACGTATCGGAAACTTTCCGCTGAAGCCGCAGACTGTGAACAATGCCTCAACTCTATGGCTATTTTGTGCCATTGCGTTCGAGTACTCTCAAAGTTCAACGTGATGATACTAAAGCACCTTTATATTTACAAAGTACTTACTATGTGTAAATGGTCTCAAAAGGGAAAACGACAGAAATAGATAGAGTACAAGACCCTTCACTTCAGCACCCCTCGCTGCACGCTGCGTGCATTATGCAGACTACAAGGGAACGACGAAGTATTGAAGCCCCCACCCAAAAGAGCCCATTATTCATAGTAAGTATCAAAAAACGAAGCATTATGAGAAGATATGAATGTGAGAAACTGCCTTCCCATTATAAAAAAAAGAATTAGACCTTGCTACAACAGAAACCCAGAAACCCCGCACACAACTTGCTTCGAAACTATGCAGAGGAAACTGAGCAGGCCCTCGTACTGGTAGACTGCCTCACTCGCACTACTCGAGAATTCATATATGTATGGGGAACCTTTGCTGAAACGCTTAAGGCATAAATCTAGCGCCCTACATCGGGAGACCTTACGGGGAGCTGCAGGGGGAGGGGAAGGGGTGAGGTGATTTTGATGCCAGCCGCAACACACATCGCGAGATGCAGCGATATGTCCGTGTTCTAAGTGAAGGATCCGAAGCCCAGAACTAACGGTAAACCACACGTAGATGCGATCTGAGTCTTTTCAGCTTCTGCAGAAGGCGATGCCGCCTGAACGTAGGATGCTAAAGTTGATTTAGCAACCTTGTTTGAAGTTGGAGCAGTTACAATCAAGACTATCGAGAAGGGAACAGCTCGGCATGGTTCACCGTAAATCATAAGGTAAAAATTTGGCCAATAGGAACACACGAAAATTAGCACTTCGTTTGCAAAAAGACTGAAAAACAATAACACAAGTCTGGAATCGTGGTCATACCACTCACAAGAGCTGTTCCAGAAATCGGACGGTTACGCGACTACTTGGATCTAGCTGCAAAAGTCCTCCTGCGAAACCCTACAGCGCAGACAGACAGTGGATTACTTTCGGATGAGTACTGGAATGTGCGAAGAAAAAACACGTGCGGATAGACTTTTTCGAGAAGAGGGGTTCCAGGGTGGCTGAGTAAATCATCACAAGTAAAAAGTCTCAATGTGTGAGGGTAAAGGAATCCATAAAATGCACAAGGGCAGGAAAT